CAGGCGGGGTGTGAGCGGGAGGCGCCGCTGCCCTGGGCCGGCGTTGCGGTGCCGGGCGTGCGCTCTGGAGGCCTCGCCTGGGGGTTAAGAGTGAGAAGAGGGCGACCTGCGCGGCCTTTCTGTTGGAGGTCTTTCCGTAGGCACCCCGGGAGCAGCTGGCGTTGCTGGCAAACTAGTGTTTTCGTGCTACGTGCTAAGGTTCTCTGAAAGGCAAGGACATATAAATTGGAACTCGAGCTCTCTTGCTTTTCTGGGAAAACTACGAAGAGAGTAATAAATAAGTGATAGGCTCTTATTGGAAGGGGTGGGGGTAAAACAAGGAGTTGGGAAGCCGTGTAGAGTTACAGAACGTGTAGGCTAACAAAATCTCCAGTTTAGTTTACAAAAATTGTTCCTTTGACAAAGTTATTCTTTCTAAAAAATATTGCCTGTAATTTTTGGATGTGATGCTGGCAATTTTCGCCATTAAGTTAGCTCCTATACATGCCGAGAGAGCCGTTAAAGCCAGCAGGGAGATTTTGCGCAGCTGGAAGTTTTGTATAAATGGATCTGACTACAGCCAGATCCTGCAACTTACATTGGATGTCTCAAATCTGAAAATATAATGAAAGGTGAAAATCGAGTCTTTTAAGCTCAACGTGTAACAGTAAAAATGAATAATTTTACTAACTTGTGCTACAGGACAATCCATAACCTATTAAGATAATTAAAATACAACTCAGTAAAGTCAGATGACCCAGAAGCTAGGTATCTCAAGCTAAATCAGTGTAAACACTGCGGGGAAGCAGACACTTCTTGGGAAAGTTGTTCCAGAGGTGTTAATGCTGTGTAAAAATCAGGCGGGCAGAACATAACTGACAAGGCTGATAATAAAATCAGAATAAACTTAAAAATATTAGGGAAGCTTTTGGACTTTTTTTGTATTAACATCAGGGCTGCCTGAAGGTATGTACTTAAATCCAAGCAGCCTGATTTCAAAAATTTGGCTGCGTTTTGGACACAGTAAACTGTTAATATCTTTGAAAGCCAATCCTTTTTTCAATTTCTGTTTAGCTCAAGTTTCAATTCTTTTGTGGCTTAATTTTCATAAATACTTTTATTACAGTGATTGGAAATGCTGGCTACTCAGTGCTTCTAATTTTGTGTCAGATACTTAATTGCTCCATAAAGTCTAAAAGAAAACGTGATCTTGAAAGAGGCACTAGCTGGGAAATGTGAATGCAGGAAATTGTTTTCAGTTTTCTCCTAAGGATTTCTGGCATTATTTAGGAAAAATCCTGGGGAAAAAAAAAAAACCCTCTTGAACTATTGAGGCAGTTCCAGCAGGCGTCATAAATTTGTCAAGGTCTGTTCTGAAACTAATTTCTCATCCCACCTCACATTGGAGGACTTCTCCAGAACATCATTCCTCAGATGACTAGAAAACATCTGATTTCCAGTTTTAAACTTTTTATGGTCCATTTATACCTCTCTGTTCTTGTGCCAGCATCATCCCATCCTTTATTTTACAGAGCTCAGAGGTGTTTAAAGTCATATTCCCATTTGGCTTTTGGTTTTCCTTGTTTTCCCCAAGCCGGCTGTTTAATCTCCTCTCAGAAGATAGGCTTTCTTTCTCTGTTCATTGTAATAATTCTTATATACATCCATTCCAGCTTTGATTCATCTTTCTTGAATTCACTTAACCAGAAATGTATAGTTTGTTCCAGATGGGCTTTCTCTTCTGCCTTGTTTGGTAACAATAATACTTCCCAGTCTTCCACCCATCTTTTCTGGAGCTGCCTTGGTCTTTAATGCTGTTTTGGTTTTCTTCATTTGTTGTTTTGGTTTTTTTTTTTTTTACTCCTATCTATAATGCCATCTACTTCTTCAGTGATACTCTGTCTCTTCTGATGATGTCATTCATTACATGAAAGACATCATATTGTTAGCTCTTTTCTGTAGGTGTTTTTCCAGTTAATGCCAATGTCACAACCGAAAACATTTAAGCAAAATTATCTTAGAGCAACTTTGCTAACTAATTCCCTCTGGATAAGTATTTCCCCTTTCGATGCAACTTCTTTGCTTGTTCACCTTACGTTTCTTGTGCTATGCTGTTTTTCCCAGACTGACAGTAATTTCACAATTTGTGCTGTGCCAGGTGCTTTGCAGAAGTTCAGAGAGATGAGATTGGTGTTTCTCTTGCCTAGAACAAACATGCGTCAAAGAAAGTTACTAGGTTAATTTGGTGTCGGCTATCTTACGTAAATCTGCATTGTATTTTATTTCATTTCCCTTTTATAGGCTAGCCCTTATAGCACTACCTTCAAAGTGTGTCATGTTGCGTGTTTTGCTGTTAAGTCTATCCTGGATCTGTAGGTGTCAGGATTTGTATGTCCTTTCTATTTTTTCATCACAGGGACTGTTTGCTCTGGCAGGTTTCAGTCACGTGATACTCTCCCTTAGCTTATCCAGAACCATTGCCACGGGATTGGCAGCCTCATGGACGAGTTCTTTAGTTAATTTTTTCTGATGGAGATGATCTATCAGCTTGGGGTTTTGCCCCTCATCCCTCTTCCATGCTCTAGGCAATTCCATCATTTTAAGGTTGTAATTCTGTATCCCATACGCTGTAATTTCTGCTTCCGTACTCTTATTCTGCCTTTTGACCACATTCTCCACATCATTTTTATTGAAAAGGCAAAATACTAATTATAGTAGTACTATAATTACATTTGAGCATCATCTCAAGATCACTGTAGTAGTTCTAACTCGTTTTTCGCATGTTTTGTCTCAAGACATTTTTACTTTTTATGTAATTTGTTTTGCAAGGTTGACATTTGGTGATTCTTCCTTTAGCTTTTGTTATTGTCTTTTTTCACTCCTTGCAAACTTTCTTTCCGCTTCTCCTTGCAAACTTCCTTTCACTTTTAAAAAACGATCATTTATCCAGTTAGATATGCAGTCCTTCCCTACAGTTTTGCCCTTACTCAGGAATCAACTTGCCACTAGGCTTTGTGTCAAATAAATTCTCTGTCTTCTCCTTAAGTAAGTCCCTGCATCCTCTGAGCTAACTGACTGGAGTTAGGAGCAGGTAGTGTCTTCTTAACGCCCTCTTTCATTCTGTTCCTAAACTCCTCATTTTGGCAAAAAGATATAGCTGCTGAAAGCTCTCCGATTTTTTTCAGTCTGTCTCCTGTCACCCTGCATACTTTGTTTCTGCCCTGCATGTGCATAGCAGAGCACATGAATGTGAGAGAGACTGCTGCTTACTCTGTGGAAGTTACTTGCAAAATTACTGATGATCATCACATTCTTCTGGAATAAGTTGCTGTTGGAAGAAGAGAGTTTATATACAGCTGCGTTTGTTTTATTTTATTTTTCTTAGGAGCATGACTGGGGCATCAGCATTTCAAAATAGCGAGGCATGTCATTACTTGTGTTCATTGGGCAATAGTGCAACAAATGTCTGTGCAAGACATTAGTTTTCAACAGCCTGGCAATACAGTCACAAACTTGTGCCAGTACTGTGTTGCCTCTGGCAGCTCCCACACTTACTTGCTCACAGTCTTGCCTCAGACCAATCTGAAAATTTTCTTCCTTATAACATATGTGACCCTTCCCAACTAGAACTCTTTTGGCATCTGTATTCCCATGCGTGATGCAGTCGTTAGCTTCCCACTAAAATGCTGTCTTGTCTTAGGTCCTTTGTTGGTACATGCACACTTCTCCTCTGTTACCTTCTGTTGGGTCATTGTAGCACGTGTCTGTGCCCAGATCATCTTGCAAGTACAGAATGCGATAATTGAAAATGAAGTATTGTTTGTGCTCTTAAATTACTAATGAAGCCACAGGATAATACAGAACTTTGAGCTTTGGCCCCCTTTACTCTCACTTGTTAATGCTTGTCTAAGATTTAGAAGGTAAGCTTTTCAGGGCAGCGATGGTATCTTTATTTGTCTATAAAACATTTGCCACAGTTTGGGGCACTATTTTAAGGCTTTGGCAAGGCTTTTTCCCCACTGACATCAGCTTCAAATAATTTCTCCTTGGAACACCATTTGCCGCTCTCTAACAAATCTCTTTTTCCCTTGCTACTCTTACCTGTTTGTTTGGTTTTTTTTTTCTTGGCTTTAAAATAACATAAGATTGGGCAAATTAGAAACAGTAGGGGCTTACAGAAGCTCATGAATTCAGTCAGTGACTCAAAATGAAAGTAATCTTTTTTTCTACGTTATTTTACACACCGCAAGTCAATGAAAAACACTATCTAGTCATAGCTTAGTAGAAAATAAAATCTTAAGGCAGACCTAGAAGGTCAGTTTTTCCCCCCTGTCTTGTCTTTAAGAAGGATCTTTAGCAGATGCTAAAGGAAGGAGCTCGAGAAGCAAGCAGAGAGTAGTGTAAACCTTCCCCTTGCATATCCTTTCCGCTTCTGAACATGCATAGCTTAGGGACTTCCAGAGCCCAAGAATGTATCTGGATCATTGTTTCTGATAGCTGTCTGTGCACATATCCTCCATGAATTTGTCTAAACCTTTTTTGAACTCATTTATGTTTTTGGCTTCCATAGCATCCTGTGGCAACGAGTTCCACAATTTAATTATGTGCTTTGTGAAAGAGTACTTCCTTTTGTTTGTTTTAAACCTGCTGCCTGATAATTTCATTGGGTGCCTGCTTGTTATGAGAAATAATAAATGACAATTTACTGTTTGCTTTTCCACTGTTTTCTTCATTTTTATAAACCTCTATTGTAGTCATCTTAACTTGGAAAACTAATGACTGTATCTGGTGAGTTAAGAGCCGTAGTCTAGTTAGTCTCTGTACGGAGCCTGTTCTGTAACTTGGATAATCCTTTCTCACCCTGTGGTGAGTTTGCCCTGGCGTTCCCGTGTCTTCATGAGGTGAGGTGGCCAAAGCAGTGCGTGTTACTTAAGACGTGGATGCACTGGAGTCTAGTAACATTCTATATTAGTGCAGTCTCTTTTTGTGTAGCTGTCTTCTGTTACTGCAGAAGCCTGTATGACTTAAAGCAGCTGTGTGCTTTTTCTTGTACTCCCAAGATCAGCAGAGGCCTAAAAGCTACTTGGTGGACTCAGTATAAAGCAATGTCATAGGTCAGAGGCATGTTTTCTTCCAGTAATGAAGGCTTATTCCTTATATGCTTTTAAGTCATGCTTGGCACTTAGAAAGCCAATATGGTATTCATGTCTCTTCTGATCTGAGGGACACAAAATTAGAATAGCCACAACTTACACCTGTGAGTTACCATAGCTGTAGTAGTTCTGAGGCATCATTCTGCTGGAGGGCATTGTGCTTTGTGTCTCCATAAGGTGTGTGCACTGAGACTTTGGCTGGTGTGATCTCATTTATTCAACTAGGGAACCTTCATGGCAACATTTCACTAGTAGGTGTGGAGGAATCATGTCTGCATATTGATTCAGATCCATGTTTTTATTCCAAGTGGGTTCATTAATATGTTAGTTCAGATCACAAGTGCACTCATGGAATAAATGTCTTGACTGTGTCTGCTTTACCATGCTTTGGTTTGTGTCTCAGAGCTGGCAAACTGTCTTCCTTCAGATGAAACTATACTGAAAAGACGCACTCAAAGAGTGTACCTAATGCACTTCAGCTGTTGCTTGGAATATACTGTCCATGGGACTAAACTGGAGCTAGGCCAGCGTGAACTCCCCTGAATTGGTGTTGAGTCCTCAGCACTGTTTTGCTCTACAGGTACACTCCCCTTGCGCGGCACTATTTGCTAATGTAGGCATAGGCAACATAGACCTGTATAGGAGTCTTAAAACATTTTTAAACAGCATTACACTCACCACTAACTTATTTACACATGAAATAAAATAAATATTAACCCAAAATACTAACCCAAGTTTATGTATTGAGAGGAAGTTATCTAAGGTCACATAAAGACATATGTAGCAGAGGTACAAGTATAATTTGGATTGATTAAGTCTTAGTCTAACGCCTGTGTCAAAAACATCCTTTTTCCAGAATAGATTAAAAAGAAGGAAAATACTAGCAGCCTTAATTCAAGTAAGCGTCAGGCTTTGTAACTGGAGAGTCCTTTCATAACTAGTACTTTGTGATATTTTTGCTGTGACATTTGATTGGCAAAACACACTGCTGCAGACATTCCAGAGTGATACTGGGACGTTATTGATTGGTTTTGTCACTCTGCAATTAAAGTCAACACTTCTTTTCTGTTCAGGTTTTTGTGCCATACTTATTGCTGTGACCTCTGAGATAGTCATCATTCAGTCACCTTGGATGAAAAAAAGATAAAATCAATATTCTTCTGTCTTTTTGCCATTAGGCATATGCTGTGATCCCTGCCTATTACTTGAGGGACTTACTGTACATGTACGTATTCCCAGACAGCTTTATACCTGATGCAAACCAAAAATACTGTGTCCACACAGTAGGCCAAGCAGTTCCAGAAACATGCTGAAATTATTGCATATTCACAGCACATTCATTGCGTGCAGGCACAGTAACACTGTCAGAGGGAGGACATGGTACCAGGTAGGAGCATTTTTTTAGTATTTCCAGAGAAATTAACCCGGCCTCCATTCTTGCTCTTGGAAGCACAGTGGACTAGCTAAGTTATTCTGTTGGGCTTTGTGTGTCCCTGAAACCCCAGGTAGAGCTTTTGTGTCTTGTCTTACTATGCTGGCATGACAGACAGAGGAGAACTTCTGAGCAGACTCCTCTGCCTAGGAACAGGTAGAAGAAAACCCTGGTTTGTGCTTGTGGATCTTGAGTGTGCTGCATATGAGATTGAGGTTGAATACGTTCTTTCTTGGGTTGAATATTTCTTATGCAGTTTGGGCTGCATGAAATTTCTTTTGCATCTTGAACCAGCAAAGAGGTATACTAAAAAGAGACTCCTCAAGAAAGCATTACATTACTTCTTTAACAGAAGTGAAAATAATTGCATTATTAATAAATGAGATGTCAGGCCATCGTGCCTTTGACTTGAAAGAATAATTTTATGACATTGCATTTTATTTCACGAGAAGCTTAAAGCTGTGAATCAATGCAAACTTTAAGAAAATGTTTATTTTTATCTCCTAGGCTACTCGACATGCAGAAATGGTGGCAATTGACCAGGTCCTCGACTGGTGCAAGCAACACGACAGAGATTACACAGAAGTGTTTGCACACTCAGTGTTGTATGTAACCGTAGAGCCTTGTATCATGTGTGCAGCTGCGGTGCGCTTGATGAGTATCCTTTCATGCTTATTTATGCTGGGAAGCCGTATGTCAAAATGTTACTCTTTTGGCAGTGAGTCCACAGAGACGGCCAACAGGGCTACCAGCTACCATCTTACGACTTGGGAGTCTGCACCCACCTCCATTTACTGCCTGGTAAATAGTTAGAGACTCAAGAATGGAAGTGAAATGGTACAATAATGACAAACAACAATTTCTCTTAGGGATGTAAAAATGCATTGTAGAGATATCTGTTGCTTTGTAAAATGAGCTAATCTCAGCTCAGTGTTAAGTATTGAATGTTGTAACGATCGGTAGACCGTGGCTTTGTATGCCTCTGCTTTGGGATTCATGCTTCTCCTTTTCTGAGAAAGGCTGGATGTGCATCTTCAGCCATACATCTTGCGTTACTCAGGAGTAAGTTCTGATTTTATGAGGGAGGAATTGTAGTGCAAACTAATTTAGTTTGAAAAGTACAAGCACATTTTAGTGAAATTTAATGACTACTTAAATCAGGCTACTTTACTTCCTGCTTGCTTTTCACTTTAACTTAATACCTTAACTCATTCACATAAATTCCACGGGTCGTATATGGCTGTCGAAATGAGCGATTTGGAGGCTGTGGCTCAGTTCTGAGCATCTCATCTGATGATATGGTAGACACAGGAGAACCATTTGAAGTAAGCTATAAAATGTTTTCCATTGTTTTTCAGCTAGGGTATTGTGCCTAGCTTCATTACCATGCTTTGAGAACGTTATGCATCAGTTTAGGAGAACTCAGATGAAAGATGATCAGAAATCAAGTAAACTTGGCTTTACAAGAAAATAATGTAAAAAAATTAAGTCCTTAAATTAAAGAAAATTGAGGAAAAGCCTGATTGACAGTCTTAAAATATTTAAAAGGATACATCAAAGAGGAAAGGAAAGAATTATATTCATGGAACAAGGTAAGGAATAAATATATTCAAAAGATGTGTAATACTTAGGAAGTGTATGCTGCAGGAGGATTTGAGGGAAAATATTTTAAGCTGCAGAACGTACAAACACATTAGCAATAAAGATCAAGTAACAGCAACTTACTAAGTTACTGGTTTTTAGCTGAGCTACTGGAAATGACCGTATTTTTGCTCCCGGTTTATCCATATACGAGGTAAAATGCATTAATTCAGATCTACTTCATATAGTTCAAATCCCAAAATAAATACAGACTGCAGAAGTAGCAGAGGAGACTTAGTTTAGATATCGGGAAACTTTCTGAGCAGTAAGGATCCTGAAAGACTGGAACAGAGCATCTGGGGAGAACGAGGCATCTTTGTCATTTAAGAAAGGCTGGACAAGCATTCAGTGGAGGTATAGAATACATAAATCTAGGCATTTTACAGCATTATACTAGTATACCTATATACCTATACATACCTATAGACAGAGAGTATTTATAACATTATATTTATTACATTATATGCAGTTGTAGGTGATCCTGCCTTTTATAAGGATCCTGATAGGAGTTCTTAGAGTTCATTTCCATAATTACCATTTATTATTTAATGAATGTAAAAAGTAAGTAGTATATTTCAGCATTCTAAATAAGCACTCAAGGCTCAGAAAGAATTTTAGTCAGCAAGACAATCCTGTTTGGCAGTCCAGTGTAAACGTTTTAAGCTTCTGTCAGGGTGTTTGTGAGACTGGCATCTGAATTAATTTGTATAGTCAGCACTGGAAGAGTGTTCATTTGCTAACATTGGCACGTGGTATTTAGTTTTTCTATATGTTCAGAAGAAAGAAAAGAGAAGATTCTTGCTGCTGCAAATCCTTCCTTTGTTTCTATAGGCAACTGCAGCAGGACGGATAGGTGTAATTCATTCTTTTCTAGTGTGGGTGGTAGTGACATTTAAATACTTTGTCATTAACGGTTATGGCCTGGAAAAATATTTTGGAAGGAGCAGAAAGGTCTGAGAGGTGACAGGAATAAAGAATAAGTTTGTGGACATATGTTGTCTACAAATACCTAGGTGTATGTCTCTTACATTTCCAAGTGCTTGAAGAGTATTGGAAGCAAGTTGGAAACACATAAGAAAGAAATTGGAGATGATTGTGTAAAAATTTTACATAAGTTACTCAGAAAGTTTGCTTTGCCTAACTTCAAGTTATTAGGGAAATGACTTACTCTGCTAAGCCTCAACGTAGTATTTTTCAAACTCAACCTGAAAAGGAGATTTTTCTGACCCTCAAATAGTGAAAGGTAGGTGTTAAATTAGTGGAATAGGCAGTACAGTTGTTTACAATTATTCTGTACTTAAGGCATTGTTGTGAAGCACAGAATATGTTATTCCCAGATGCGCTCATGAACATCATTCTAATTTGAACAGTGCGTTTCTGGCTTTCGTGCCAAAGAAGCAGTGGAATTGTTAAAAGCTTTCTACAGACAAGAAAATCCCAATGGTAAGTTTCACATTAACAGAGCCATTTTGATCCCAAACTAATTTAAAAGAATGCTGGCACTGGTATTACTGTAATTCACTTCTGATGGTTTTTCTCCCTTTCTGTTTCTTCTTGGCAGCACCAAAATCAAAAGTACGGAAAAAGGACCATCGTAATTAGCCCTATGCTGGTGGGAGACAGAAACTTACCAAAAACTGCTAAGTGAAGGTTTTTTCAGCATCCTTCTTTTTTAAAATGTACAGACCAATTAAACTATGTCTGTTGTTCTGTACAGAGTTTTTACTAACAGGATACTTACTGCCTGTTCCTGCATTTGTATGTACGTGATTTCTTGTTATCATACGTGACCAGGCAGAAGAATAAATGGTTGGTTTTAGAAAGAGGAAAACTTATGGTTCAAGTTCACTTGTTTACAGCCAGATGGATCCATTAAAATGATGCCGATCTGTGCAGCACATTCTAGAATATTTTCTTTCCTTCTGTCTGTGGAGAAGCATCTTCCCTTTCAGTAGTAAACATTTGCTTAGGCAAATCCAAGTAAATCTCTTGGAAGGTGACATTTGTAAGACCTTCACAGTCCTTCTGTGTGTATTGAATCAAAAGGCGTATGAGGAATTGTACAGTCCTTGAAGATTTGAGATAAGACCATTGTAACAGTTCTTCATTGTTTTTTACACCCCCGCTAGCACAAACCACATTTTCAAACATAACTTCTGAAAGTCACACGCATGTGTGGACAGGTAGATGTGCAGAACTGCACGCCTCAGTTTGTGTATGCTAATGCTAATAAGGGTAAGCAAGCATGGCTTGGCTGCACAGCATCTCCATACAAAGTGGTGGAGAAACGCTCCACAAGTGTCTTTAGGCTGTCCACTCCTCTTGTGAATGTTAGCATAAGAAATGCTTTATCATTAAGAATCCCCTAAGAAGCTGAAGTTGTTCTCCTCTGCTAAATTATAGGAACTGAGATGGGCAGATACATGTGAAAACCGGGAAATGAAATTGGTGATAGTATGAAGAAAATACCTTTGAGATGTTTGTCTTTTTGTAGCGTTGGTCAGCTTTGTCATTTCCATGCACTTTGCTTCCCCATGCAGTAATTTATAATCCAGAAGAGGGCCTTACAGTTCCACTAATGAATTAAGAATACAAGTGCAGTTTGCTCTTGATTATATACCTCTTAGTGATACCTATCTTAAGCATGAAACTCTCTGTAATTTATTCGGCTGATATTCAGAAATTTGAGAAATGCCTTAACTCTTTTTTTAATGTAGAAGAGTGATTAGAATTCTATGACTATAAAAACTGAATACAATTAAGCCTTTTAGATATTTCAAATAAATACTTTCAAAAGTCTTTTTTTTTAAAAGAGCATTAAAAGCATTGCTTTGTCACCATTGCTCCTGATAGCTTAGAAATTGTATTTTGTGTATTTACTTATTGTTTACAAAGTGACATGGGAAAGAAGCATTTTTACCATAATAGCTATTTCAGAGTTTAGAAATCGTATTCCTTTAACTGAGACCCTTTGACTGACGGCGGTGCCCATCCTGTTCTCCGGGCTGTTACAGCACTCTCTGAGTCCTTTCCATCAGCAAAAGAAGTTACGACAGTGTTTGGATTTTATCAGCTTTGGAGCTGCGAGGGCTCATGAATCGGACAGCTAAGCTGGAAGAGCTATTTAGGAAAAGACCATTTTTAATGACTGTGATGGCTTAATTGGAAAGAAACAGTCACGCCTGTGGTTATGGTATTTGGCTGGTGGTACAAGATCGCTCTTTATCTATACAGATACAGATTCAGGTCTCAGCTGGGCCATAATTTTCTTACACCTCAAAGAAGTCACTGAAGTCCAAATTAAAGGAAGACATTAGACTTCTGGCTTGTCACTGACATCAGTGACAGTAGGAATTGGAGCCTACACATTGTTTTGGACCAGGACCTAAACCTCTCAGCACCTGTTCTTCTGCAGAAATGGCTAAGAACGCTTTCCTTCCCCACTGCCTTCTTTCAAAGAAGAACATTGTTAGCAGTTGGAGAGTGTGACAGTAGGAGCCATGTACAATGAGTAGAAAGGTTACTGGTAGTAGGGCAAAAAACACTTTACAAGCTGTGTCCAATTCTGCAGTCCTTAAAAGTGGAACAGAAATAATCTGTAACAAGTCAGTGGTAACCTGTCACTTAGAAAAACAGTTTAAGTCCTGCTCAAAGCCCAAGACTGAAGAGGGAGACAAAAATAAAAATTTCTCTTAGGAGCGATCAGGGGTAATAACGTACGTCTTGGAAAAGGGGCATAAAAGAGGAACAGCATATCAAGCTAAAAACTATTGTATTGCAGTGTATTGGGTTTGTGGGGTAAGGTTTTGGTAGTGGGGGGCTACAGGAGTGGTTTCTGTGAGGAGCTGCCAGAAGCTTCCCCCATGTCTGGCAGAGCCAATGCCAGCTGGCTCCAAGGTGAACCCACTGCTGGCCAAGGCCGGGCCCATCAGCGATGGTGATTGATAGAGCCTCTGGGATAACGTAGTTCAGAAGGGGAGAAAAAAACCCTGGGCAACTGCAGCCGGAGAGAGGAGTGAGAGGATGTGAGAGGAGCAGCCGCCCAGGCCAAGGC